GACTCTCAACCACTGCGCCACCAGGGAAGCCCCCTAGGGGATTTTAATGGGTCACCAGAGTTAAGATGATACACTTAGGTTCAAATATTCAAGTGTATAAATACAGAAACAGAAATACTTGAAGCAATTCACCAGCAAGTGATTTGGTGGGGTTTAATTAATAAATCACAAGCAATGGACTCACTAGTGAGATACTAGTGTTACATAAAGCTAATCCTCTCTCAAACTACAATAAAGAAATATAAGTTCAAGGAAGAGAATTCTATCCTGTCCTGTCTACATCTAACACCTAGCTCAAGGGTTCCCACATAGCAGATGTTGGTCAGACATGAGATGAATTAATGTCAGCATATTGCTTTATAATAATAAAAACATCACGTTTTTGTAGATTTATAACTCAAAAATAATTTTCACATAGATCATCCTATCTGAAGAGTAGAGGTTACGAGGGGGATCAAGATGGCAGAGTAGGAGCTCACCTCTCCCCACGAACACATAAAAAATACATCTACATGTGGAACAATTCTCATAGAAAACCAACTGGAAACAGGCAGATCTCCCACATAACCAAAGCTGCAAGAAGGATCTCCATGTAACTGGGTAGGACAGGAAAAAAAAAAAAGCGACAGGACCTGTGCCCCGGGAGAGATCTGTAAAGGAGAGAAGGTCCACACGGGCAGACCCTTGCCTGGGGAGCCCCCTGCCAGCTGGGAAATCTGCTGGGACAGACAGAGGGGCTGCGGAAGCCTAGACTATACTTGTGAGGAGTGCAGGCATGCTGGCTTCCTAACAATCAGGATGGAAGGGGACCAGTGCTGGTGGCTGATGCCTTGCTGCACTTCCCAAGCCTCACCTCACTTACCAATCCGAACCATGTGCCAAGTGGGACCACAAACACGTTAAGTGCTGAATTTTGGGCAGACAGGATGTGGGAGAGGACTCCATTTACCTGTGTGGAGACAGTAGAGACAGCCCTGACGGCCTGGGGTGTGGTCCAGGCTGAAACATGGAGCCCACTGTCAATGTACACAGGGAGGGGTGAGTCCAGCTGTGGCACACTTTGTCAGTGAGCACACCAGGTGGTATCACAGAAATGCACAGTGGCTGGGCATTGAGGTTCGGTGGAAAGGCCCTGGGCAGCAGCATGCAGTGGTTCATTTCCTGGTGAGAATGCTCCAGCCCTGCCCACTCCACACCTCAGCTTGGAGCTGGAATTGGGGTGGACAGGTCCTGGGAGAGGTGTGCCACAGAGGCAGCCCAGGTCCCAGGCAGCAGCACAACAACCTTGATCCTGCAGCCACAGTACCCTAGCCTCCAGCCACAGCCCACGCCACAAAAGAGCCTACCACTAGGTCTGGAGTGAAACACAACAGAGAGAGGGACACAACATTGCACTGAGTCTGAGAGGAACTGCAGATGCCTGCCTAGGCAGTGCATGGGCTCAATGTGACCATACAGGCCCCACTTGCACCAACAGTCGCCTCCTTTGGGGCAGGGCATGCACTCAATGGCAATGAAATCTCATCAAACACAAACTTCAGGGCTTCTACTCCAACAGTTGTGGAGCAGACCCCACTCCCAACAGAGCTGTGATAGCCTCAGAGCAAAGAGGAGTTCCTGCCCACCATAGAGCCCAGGTTCTAGACGCTTCAACACCAATCACACCCCCTATCAAGGGGTTAATGGCCAGCAAATGCTAAGGAAAGACATGGCTGGCACCCACACCAAAACCAGCCCACACACCAAAAATATCTGACTCACAGAGTCTACACAGGGATGCTCCCACATAAAAACACCCCTTCAAGACCACAATAGATAAATGTTTCTCCTAAATTCATAGAGAGAAAGTTAAGTAAAATGAAAAAGCAGAGGAACTACTCTTAATTAAAAGAACAAGAGAAATCTCCTGAAAGAACAAATAATTTCTGAAACAAACCTCACCAGTCTACTAGACCTTGAGTCCAAAAAGAAGGTAATAAAAATGCTAAAGGAATTAAGAAAGATTATCAATAGAAATGCAGAGCACTGTAACAAGGAACTAGAAACTATGAAGATGAACCAAATCAAAATTAGACAACTCAACTGCTGAAATAAAAACCAATCTAGAAGCAATGAATAGCAGACTAAATAACACAGAACGTGTAAGTGATCTGGAAGACAGAAAAATGGAAATCACTCAATCAGAACAGCAGACAGAAAGACAAATGAACAGAATATGAAGATAACATGTAAGAACTATGCGATAATATAAAGCATGCCAAACTATGCATAACAGAGGTTCCATAAGGAGAAGAGAGAGAAAAGGGGATTTAAAATATATTTGAAGAAATTATGGCTGAAAACATCCCAAACCTTGAAGAAGGAAACAGATATCCAGGCACAGGAAGCACAGAGGGTCCCAAACAAGATGAACCCAAAGTGACCCACACCAAGATACATCATAATTAAAATGGCAAAAGTTAAAGAGAGGATTCTAAAGGTAACAAGAGAAAAACAAAGAGTTAATTACAAGGGAACCACCATAAGGCTATCAATTGATTTCTCTGCAGAAACTCTGCAGGCCAGAAGGGAGTGGCATGATATATTCAAAGTCCTGAAAGGGAAAACCCTGCAACCTAGGATATTCTACCCAGCAAGATTATCATTTAGAATAGAAGGTGAGAGAAAGAATTTCTCAGACAAGCAAAAACTAAAAAAATTCAGTATTACTAAACCTACCCCAGAAGAAATATTGAAAGGTCTTCTCTAAATAAAAGAGAAACAAGAATCTATAGGTAAGGGAAAATCACAATGGGAAAGCCAATATATAAAAGGATTGAAGACCACTTAAATAAGCTAGTACATAGATTAAAAAATAATTACAAATATTTTTGTAAAAGCAATTATAACTACAATGAACAGCAAAAGAATAAGCATGAAGATGTAAAATATGACATCAAAATAAAAAAATGTGAGAGAGGGGGACTCTAAAGATGTAGATTTTTTTACTGTGTTTGAACTTGTATGACTATCACTTTAAAGCAAGTATAGTTATGGGTCAACATACTTGAACCCCATGGTAACCACAAATTTAAAACATACAATCGATTCACAAAAACCAAAAAGAAAGGAACTCAAGCATAATATAAAAGAAAACCATCAAACTACAAAAGGAAAAATAAAAAGAACCAGAAAAGAACTACAAAAATAACTAGAAAACAAGGTTTAAGATGGCAACAAATACATACCTATCAATAATTACTTTCAATGTCAATGGACTAAATGCTCTGATTAAAAGACACAGAGGGGCAGGTTGCATAAGAAAACAAGAACCCATAATATGATGCCTACCAGAGACTCACATCAGGGTGGAAGACACACACAGATAGAAAATGAGGGGATGGAAAAAGATATTCCATGCAAATGGAAACGACGAGAAAGTGGTAGTAGCAATACTCATATCAGACAAAACAGACTTTAAAACAAAGGCCATAAAGACAAAGAAGGACATTATATAATGATAAAGGGATCAATACAAGAAGAGGGTATTACACCCATTAACATA